AAAGGAAAAAAGGAAGATAAATCGTAACAAATAGTGACAGCTGCAGCAAGAACAGAGACCAAGCAGCAGCAGCAGCAGCTCAAGTGAGAGCCTTCTCCTCACCTCAGACCCAATAATGCCAGACCAAGCACTCAGCCCCAGCACAGCTGCCCTGAAGGTCTATGACTCATGTGACAGTTCCCTCCTTGAGGAGAATATGAGCAAGACTATCAATGAGGATGACAGAGATAAGGGGGAAGATCTCAATAAGAAAGTCAAGGATCCCCTTCCTGAGTGAGAGAGTATGTTCAATCAGCATGAGCATGAAGAGAATTTGAAGAGACTAGCATATGAGATGCACCAGAAGAATTTTTTGGAGTTGTATCAGGAAGGTATGACTACACTATAGATGGATGACACCTAGTTGATGTCATCCATGAGACAAAGGTATATCACCACTGACATTGTTGAGCAGGCAGACATTTTGCAATATACAGCCACTGAGCAGACCATTTTTATTTACAATCTAAGATATTTAGAATACCAAATAGCATGACTACCACTGTATTGGCCTAAGTACAATCTGACACTAAGAGTATAGACACCAAGTGTGATGCTGAGTAAATTGGCATACTTAGCAGGCTCAATCTGATTGGTATTATCAAGATACTCATTTGCCACCTCAGCTGTCTGTAGCATGGCATCTCAGCTTTCCAAGAGCTGATCTCAATGGGGAAGTTATTACTCTAACCTGTGAAGGTTGCCAGTTTGGTAACTATTTGCAGGACAACCTTTGCCAGATGAAGCTAAAGGCAGTGGGTCAGCTCCAAAGGCTCCTGAAGCCAATGACTCTGAGGCTATTGCTTAAGGCTGGACTGTTAGAGATGGGCAGATCATGTGAAAAGAAGTACCTCTGTCAGGAAGTTCTATCACTGATGATGGCTCTCTCCATTTATATCCAGAGCCTCTGACAAGCTGGGCAGTTTCACCCTGGGGCAGGATTCTGAATCTGACAACCACCCTCATATCTGACACTCAAATTTTAAATGTCAAACCAGATCTCATATGTGAACTCTGTGCATTTAGAAGAATATCTGACAATATTGACTGCTTTTTAACTGACTGTGATCAATATTTCCAAGTCTTCACCTTGTACTTCCAGCTTAACATGTACAAGATGACATTTGCCTCAACCCATATGAAGGACAAGATGAAAACATGATGGATTCTTCTATCTCTCACATTCTAGTTGACCACTCAGCAATATCACTGGTATTCCTCATGGCCAGTACTCAAACAGATGATCATCAAGAAGTTCATAGACTCTGATATCCAAGAAGTCCATAAGCAAAAGATGAAGGACTTCAAGATGGCTGACAAGCCAGCCACTAAGTACTTTGACAAACTAGAGTGACTCAGCAAGTTGACAGGAGTCCAGGATAATGTAGCTGATACTGGCTGCATGGTCAAATATATGAAGATGGGAGCACTACCTTCCTATCTCAAGATTATCTCTGACATTGAGCATGGTATTCCAAAGGGATATGATAAATGGAAGGCCAGAATTATCACCATATATAGAGAATGGCAATGACAGAGAGCAGAAGTGTCCAACCTATTGTGGGGAGGACCAAAGAAGCAGAGATAGAGCCTGAAGCCCTCTGCCTCTAGCATGACCACATCTGCCAGGCCTGGTGACTTGACCCCAACTTCCTCATACAGTGAGAAGCAAACTGGTACAGATATGACATATACCAGAACAGGAAAGCTAATAGACATGGATCACCTCAAGAAGGAGGAGAAGTGTTTCAATTATGGCCAGAAGGGCCACATAACATGAAACTGTCTCCAGAAGAAGAATAAGTGCACCCAAGAAGACATCCAAGTGCAGATCACAGAACTGATGAAGGAGGAAGAAAACCTTGAGCCAGATGCCAAGACCAAGGAGGTAAAAGATCAGGCCAAGCAGTGAGCAATTCCACTGGCTTGGCCAAAATACCAAAGAGTAGTGTGTCACAATTATCTGCTGAACAGACTGACTTTATCTCTGTAGTACCACCTATGTCTAAATTATGCATGCATTCAAATATACCCAACATTACCACTCAGACCCCAGAATCACCAAAGGAACCAACTCAATCACCTATGGGCCAAAGGAGGACAGTGAGCCCTATTGGTGCATCATCATCAACAGTTTGCTGAACTGACCCTGTAGAAACTCAACTGCTCATGGGCCAAACAGGGGCAGAGAGCCTCATTAGCTGGTTAAGGCCATTCAACACTGAATAGACTTGGTGAGCCATCAAGGACATGAAGGATGAAGTAGCAGCAAAGGCCATACTTAAGAATTGAGTACACAAGACCTGAGCTGAGAAAGTGATCAATGATATGATTATAAGAATGTGAGAAGCAGAATGATGTTGAGCCCTGAAATAGCTTGATAAATTACATAGACTATAGAAGTTTATCTGATGATCCAAGACTTTGGGCCAGGACCTATTAGCCAAGATCTGAATTGAGACACTCACATAGTTATCACACTAATTGATAGTGAGTGCACAGGAAGCTCAATCAACCATGCTTTTATCATTAAGCATGGACTTTCCACTTGAGCCACAGCTGCTCTGATCCCCATATACAATGCAGACAGGATAAAGAACCAAGCCAGTTCGATTACCAAATACATGGAGCTCAGGCTCACTATCAGTGATCATTCAGAATGAATTAACTTGGCAGTAACTGACTTAGAGACTAAGAAAATATTCTTTGGTCATGATTAGCTGATTCAACACAATCTGCTAATTAACTAGAAGACTGAATGCATCATTTTTGCTAGATGCTAATGTCAGAAAATCCCATTCAAACTATCTGATAAGGATCTCGAAGATTGATGGGATGAAGAAATGAAAGACAGCAAGATGATTCTTGCTGTCAACCTACAGAAGGCCATTCATGTGTATGTTATACACTATGCAAACAACTTAGCAGCAAAGGCCAATGCTGAGAAAGGGGAAAAGACATTCAAGGAGATGGTACCTGAATAGGTATGGGACTATTGAGACTTATTTGAGAAAGAAAGTTTTGATAAATTATCCAATCTAAAACCTTGAGATCATACTACAAAACTGATTCCAAATGTGAATGCCAACCTGGACTGCAAGTGTTATCTACTTGGCAACAATGAACAACAGGAACTGAATAAGTTTCTCAATGAGAACTTATCCAGCAGAAGAATTCAGCCATCAAAATCTCTGATGGCCTCACCCTTCTTCTTCATCAAGAAGAAGGATGGAAAACTCTGACCAGTATAGGATTACTGAAAGCTGAATGAGATAATGATCAAGAATTGTTATCTGCTTTCATTAATTTCAGAATTGATGGACAAGCTCCATAATGCCAAATATTACACTAAATTAGATGTCTGATGGGGGTACAACAATGTATATATCAAAGAAGGTGACAAATGGAAGGCTGCTTTTTGAACTAACTATAAGTTGTTCAAACCAATGGTTATGTTCTTTAGACTCACCAATTTGCCAGCAACCTTCCAGTGCATGATGAATGATATCTTCAAAGATCTCATTGCCACAGAGAAGGTCATAATCAATTTGAACAATATTTTGATAATGTCCAAAGCCAAGAAAGAACATCAGTATCTAGTATGACAGGTACTAGTGCTGATGAAAAAACATCAGCTTTTTCTCAAAGCTGAGAAATGTGAATTTGAGGTATTAGAAACAGAATATCTTAAAGTCATTATCAGCAAAGGAAGCATCAGAATAGACCCTGTCAAGGTGGCAGGAGTAACTGAATGGCCAGAACTGACCAAGAAGAAGGAACTGCAATCATTTCTTGGATTCACCAACTTCTATTGGTAGTTCATTTGGGACTACAGCAAGATAGTCTGACTGATGATGCAATTGACCAGGAATGCTCCATGGACTTAGAGAAGTTCTCAACAGATGGTGTTTAATAATCTTAAATGCTGATTGACTGAAGACATGATCCTTGCCATATTAAGCCAGGATGAGAAATTCTGAGTAGAGGCTGATTCAAGTGAAGACACTATAGGTGCTATTCTCTCTCAGGAATAGGATAGCAAATAGTGACTGGTTGTGTTTATATCTAAAGCACTCATGGTGACAAAATATAACTATAAAATTTATGACAAGGAGCTCCTTATTATAATGCTCACACTCACTGAGTGGTGGCATTATCTCATTGGAGCAGTCCAGACCTTCAAGATCTGGACTGATCATCAGAACCTCTGATATTTCTGACTCTCTCAGAAGCTTAATTGCCAGCAAGCCTGATGTTAAGCCCAAATCCCACGTGACAATCAACATGTGATAAACAGTTCGGCGCCTCGCACTTCGGACATGTCCGACTGAGTTCACTGATGTGTGGAGAGTGTTGTGTGGTTCAAGGCCTGATGAATTAGTTGAGCTCGAGATAAGATAGTGGTGTATAAACTTTAGTTCGAGACTGGGGTATTACAGCAAGAACTAAGCTACTTAAATACTGTTTGCTATAAATGACTGTTCACAAAAGCTGTTCTCCTGCTGTGTGCTGTTCCCCCTACCGTTTGTCAGCCTCTCCACAAAATCTATTGTCCTGCTGTGTGCTGTTACTGCTGCACCACAGTTGGAGGACAAAAGGAGCATTGTCTCTCCCTTCACAGCACACAGCAGTGCAGTATGACACTGACTGACTGGATTGCTGATCTAAGCATTCCCACAGTCATAAGCGCTGGCCTAAGCACCCTGACTAAGCAAAGATAGGGGTCATTTCTGAAGGAAGAGAAAGAAAAATAGGAAAAAGATCAGAAAAATCGTAACATTACCCCCTCCTTAAGACCATCGTCCCGATGGTTAAGTAAGGGGGGTCCCCCGCCCTTTGGCAGGAGGTGGCCGATCTGCTGGACCCGTCTGTCGGTTTGCAGATTGATAAAGACATTGACTGATATTTGGTTGTTTGCCTTGTTGCAGGATCTCGAACTGCGAGAGCGATGTGTTCCGACTATGTTCGGTCGTTATGTCGTGACTTTCGATATGTCGGAGGCTGCCTGTGGATCTATCGTGTACATTTGCCTCATTGCTTTTCGCTGTATGTCCCACAGGGTTATCTTTATTGTCCATCCGTACATGTCCTCTGCTGATGGCAGGTCAACGTATTTCTTCAGGGATGATATTGAACATCACCCCCTTGTTGTTGAACCGTCTGCCGCTTTACAGATTCGTAAAGACATTGGCTGGTCATTGGTTGTTTTGACATTTGGATTCGTTGGCCATTTCAGGCCGGTTTCGGATGGGATGTATTAGCCCGATATTGCTCGTCAGCTTCATTGTATATTTGTTTTGATCGTGATTGAGAAGTGATTGACATTTGACGTTTGAGTGCGTCATAGCCGTCGGTTTTGGGTTCGAGGGATTCCTAGTTTGCTTTGTTACAGGTGTGTCGTTATTGGGCTGCTGTAACATTCCCTTGTCATTGGTTGGTCACCCTGTTTTCTTGAACAGAGTCATCTGAGATTGTCTGTGCTCCAATGAGATAGTGTCATCACTCTGAGAGTGTGAGTACTATGACGAGGAGTTTGGAGAATTTCGGTCTTGGAAGTTCCCCGTTTCCTTATGGCATTTCCAGCCTAGGCCTTCGATTTGTCGCAGGCTGCCTGTGGATCCAACGTATACTTGAGACACATTGCTTCTCACCGTATGTCCCATTGTCGGTCCGTGATGTTCAGCAAGTTTCTTCGGCAATCAACGGTACTTCCAATGAGATAGTCTCATCACTCAAGAGCATGAGTGCTATAGTGAGGTGTATCGAAGATCTCCTTTCTGCACCTGACTACTATCAGTGCTTGGTTCCTATCCTGGCTTGATCCAGCCAGAATTCTATTCTTTGGCTATTCGATACCGAATGCCACTCGTTAAGAAATTTCCTGGTCCTTTGAGGAATCTCTGTATTCTTGATCGGACGATGTTGTCGAATGATTTGTTGGTTAATTATAGCAATAATGATTGTTCCTTCTATTTGTGGAACAAGTGATCAGAATGATCGCTTTCGAGAAGTAGTCGACTGTGATGGTAATTGCATCATAGCCGGTACTTTCAGGAAATTCAGTAATTTGCTTTGTGTGATCGTCTTCGAGAAGTAATTCGTCAATGATCATGATTGTATCATCGGCATTGCTTTCGGGAAGATGTAGTTTTTTGGTTCTCTGCTGACGAAGAGTTCCAATTCGCAATTCATCCCTGATGAATTCCTTCGTCGGAAGTTTCCTATCGCTGGTTAAGTGATAGGGTTTTGGTTTGATCCAGTACCTTGGATCCATTTGTGTATCCTTTCTCCATGGCTGTAACTATGCCGCTGGAGCTTTTTGAATGGAGGAACATGGCTTTCCTTGTCATTTCCTCATTCCTTTGTTGTTCTTGACATATCCGGTGATATCGTGGTCCATCTTGGGCTATGAATATCATTCCAAGATTGTTGTTGCCGATCCGCGATGTTTGGCAATCTCCTGATCTGTTTAGATCATTTGAGATCGACATTACTCCAATGAGATAATCCCATTCCTCAAGAGTACGAGTATTATAGTGAGGAGTTTTTGAAGACCTCATTGTGGCACTTCGTTATCGGAAGTGCCTTTTCCTATTCTGGCTTGGTTTAGCCGGAATGCTGTCTTTCGTTACTTTTTCAGAAATTCCCCGTTCCCTTGGGGAATTTCCAAGTGTGGCTATGTCACCCGCTAGACCATGTTGCTGGATGATCCGCCGGTAGAAGTTAATTAATCCATGAAAGGATCATAGTTTCTTCTGTTTTAGTCCCGATCCATAATCGGGACTGTGCTGGTGTTTCTTCTTGTACCAGTGTCCTCCATCCCATTGGTACAAACAATGTTTGTCTTGTTCGAAGAGCAGGTTGCCATATGATGCCTTCAGCACTCGTTAGTTAAACGATGCACTTTTTTGGCGTTGTGGTTACTATAAAAAGAAAATGTTAGTTTATCAATTTAGTGTGTGGCCGAGTCCCTGAGTTCGGCCCGTGCTGTCCAGTAATATATGTCAGGGTCTGTTGGAGGTCCTTATCCTCTTTTCTTGGGGAATGCTGGTTCCTGAGTTTGATGGCCATATGCTAAGGCAATTGCCTTGGCCCTTTGTCATTGTCGTTCCTTGGATATCCCAATGGTCCGGCCCTTCCATTTGTCGTAATCTTTTGGGATATATTGCTCGTTGCTTAGGATTGTCGTGAGATGGATGGGCGGTAGTCTCCTTTTGATACATTCGACCATGTATCCGGTATCCGTGGTGTCGTCCCATACCCCTGCGAGTGTTCCGAGTCGCTCTAGTTCGGTGAAGTACTCTGTAGTTGTTTTTCCGGCCAGTCTGTGTTCCGTTATTTGTCGTTTGTAGATTTCCAGAATGGCTAGTTGTGTTGGGGTATTTATAGGGGTCGGGATCCCACCATCAGATGGTTGCACCCATGGTGTTGCTTCTGTGGTGTATGGTGGTGGCTGCTCAGCAGGTAGTTGCGGCACTGCTGGCAACTTTCTATGTCATGGATGTTGCCAGGTTGCCTGAGATCGGCTTCTATCACGCCGAGATGCCGTACCGGGGTTGGCGCGAGTGTTATGCAGGTGCCGAGATGGTGCCATTGTTGCTGTGGATGCCAGTTCTGAGCGTGAAGGGTTCGGTATCCACGGCTTGACTGTTGTCTGGTTGCCGTTTCTTGGCTTATGTAGCTGCATCGGCCCCACCTGGTAATGCAAAAATTGTTGATTAAAATCAAAAATGGCCCCCCCCGTCCTTTGCTCTCCCGGACTTTCTTCCGATTCAAAGGGAGGGTCCCTGACCCTTTCCTTTGAATCCCCCTCCTCGGCCTCATTGTCTGTTCCATCATCCTGGTCCCTCATTTCCCCCCTGAGAAGGGAAATTTTGGCCAGGTCATAAATTGTCACATTGACGGGTCTGGGGCTGGGTGCTGGGTCTGGCATCCTTTGGTCCAGGGCGAGGAGAAGGCTCCCACCCAGGCTGCTGTTGCTCCTGCTCGGCCTCTCTCCTTCTTGCGTCCACCGCCACTGCTCGGCTATATTGATGGAAGTTTCAGTAAAACCAGGGTCAAAGGAAGAGGGCAGCCACTGGCCCATCAAGAAACCATTTAAGGTCTCCTGTGGGGTCGATGTGCTGGCTGTCTCCTTCAATCGATCCCCGGTCTGCCGATATCCTGTTTCCTCGGTCCGGAATACTGTCAGTGTCTGCAATGGTATCCGTTCCATATGATAGTGGGTGGCTGTTGTCAAGCTCTTCGGTGTCGGCATCGAGCTCCTCCTGTCTTGAGACGTTGTCGCTATAGATGACTCTGTCGACAGGTGCCATCCATGGGTCAGACTCGGTGTGGGAGGGGGTGGGTTGTTGGAAGGGGGAGTCGAGGATGCTGCTGTTGATGAGAGTGTCGGTACTAACACTCTTGTTTTCTCTTCGCTGCTGTTCTGCCTCTCGTGCTTGGAGATACCTCCCAAAGAGGTCGTTCTCCCTGTAAATCTCGTTGTCGCTTCTTGTCTGATTGGCAAAGAGCCCAGCGAAGTTCCTGATAGGTCGTTGTTCCAACTGGTTGACCTCTGTCCTGTTGTCAGTGCTGTTACCTCATACTGACATCGTATGATGGGATCCCTGACTCCTAGTACTGGTCCCGTGAGCCACCCATGAGCCATCCAAGGAGTCTCTGGCATGGTGCCCAATGCCGGTGCCAGAGACGGGGGTTAGTGTTCTTGTTGCTCAGGTACTGCACTGGGGGGATCGGATGGGGGTGCCGGACCTGAGTCGTCGGAACCCTGTTGCCCAAGGGTTTCCAGGGTCCTGGATGACTGCCGGCAGAGGTCGTGGGGGGTATGCGTACTGTTGATCCTGTTCTTCTTCCTCCCTAGTATGTTCCGAAGACATTCTCCCAGAGACGTCTTCGGGGTCGACTCCTTCTGGCTGATGGGGCTGTCGGGACGTCGAAGGTCGGGCTGAGGCAGGGATGTCGTGAAGAGGAAGATCCGGTGTAACATTCCGGAGAATGGTATGAATGTGCTAGAATTCATGATAATGACAGATAGACCAGGCGATGATAGATTGGCGTCCATGGCACAGCTGTATGAGCACCAATAGACCGACCAGAATTCCGATGATAGAGACAAAGAGTATAAAGAACTCTTAAGTAAAGTTCAGGTTTGAAGGATTAAGCACAGGGGGCATTCAGTTTCTCAGCACAATTGGGCTTGAGAAAGGGAATGTGAAAGTCTCAAACTAATTGTTAAGCCCAAACCCCATGTGACAATCAACACGTGATAAACAGTTCAGTGCCTCACACTTCAGGCATGTCCGACTGAGTTCACTGATGTGTGGAGAGTGTTGTGTGGTTCAAGGCCCAACGAATTAGTTGAGCTCGAGATAAGATGGTGATGTATAAACTTTAGTTCGAGACTGAGGTATTACAGCAAGAACTAAGCTACTTAAATACTGTTTGCTATAAATGACTGTTCACAAAAGCTGTTGTCCTGCTGTGTGCTGTTCCCCCTACCGTTTGTCAGCCTCTCCACAAAATCTATTGTCCTGCTGTGTGCTGTTACTGCTGTGCCGCAGTTGGAGGACAAAAGGAGCATTGTCTCTCCCTTCACAGCACACAGCAGTGCAGTATGACACTGACTGACTGGGTTGCTGATCTAAGCGTTCCCACAGTCATAAGCGCTGGCCTAAGCGCCCTGACTAAGCAAAGATAGGGGTCATTTCCAAAGAAAGAGAAAGAAAAATAGGAAAAAGATCGGAAAAATTGTAACACCTGATGGGTTATAGAACTATCCAAGTATAAATATACACTGCACCACAAGGCTAGTGCAGTAAATAAAAAGGCTGACTTCCTTAGCTGCAGAGCCAATCATGACCAGAGAGAAAGTGACAATGAAGGAGTCATATTATTATGATCTGAATACTTCTGGATGATGATAATGCCCACTGAGGAGGAAGTGCATAAGTGCATTAAGAGCACTACTTGGGATTTCCACAAGTGAGATCAATGGATTGCTCCATCACTCAACCATGAGCAGAGACTGAAGAAAGAAGGAGGATTGATCTGCTATGATGGGAAGATCTATATTCTAAGAGATCAGAGACTTCATGACAATATCATTACCACATGTCATGATCATATGACAGCTGGACATTCAGGCATTGCTAAAATGAAGGAGCTTATCCTTGTTACGATTTTTCCCATTTTCTTTCTATTTTTCTCTCTTTTCTTCAGAAATAACCCCTATCTTTGCTTAGTCAGGGTGCTTAGGCCAGCGCTTATGACTGTGGGAATGCTTAGATCAGCAACCCAGTCAGTCAGTGTCATACTGCACTGCTGTGTGCTGTGAAGGGAGAGACAATGCTCCTTTTGTCCTCCAACTGCAGTGCA